AGAAATATAGTAATACTTCAGACATATCTGTTTCCAAGAATGATAAAACAGCACACGTGTTCATTACAGCTGAACTTTAGTTTTGCTTTGAACGAACTCTTCTCTAAAGAACGGCCTTAGGCAAAGATGACACAAATAAGACGTAATACCAGCAATTACCACAGGAGGGTATCTAAACACTATTAATACAGTACTGCTGTATTCCCTCAATATTCAATACATATAGGTTTTTATCATTTTTAAATTTGATGCATAATTTTCATATTTTATTTATTCGCTGGGTGTTTTAAGCAAATACTATTTTACATTTTTTTATCAATTTACCTCATCCTCCTCCAAAACTATGAAACGAGTTCACTAAGCTCCTACATGTGTGCAAAATATCCATCGCATTCACATTATGAAACACTGGATAACATTGTAAACTGTAAACAAAACACTAGATTAAACCTTTCCGATCACTGCCTCACCTCTTGGCGTGGTGGCCTTTACCAAAAAAACAAAGAAAAAGGATGTTTACACGGACAAAGCCTTCTTGGCTCCACAGTCGAAAGGTTGTGTTTTCTTTCTTCTCTTTTCAGCAGGGAATAAACCTGTTACTTGTTCCTTTGCTGACGCGGGTACCCACCTGAACTGCTTCTATAGAGCCATGTCGCCTTGGGCTGCACACAGAGGAGACAATTAAAAAAGCACAGAAGACTGTGGGAAAGACAGAGCGGAGACGTTTTCACCGGGGGCAAAAGATGCAAAGCAGCAGAGCAGGGCTGTCAAGCGCTGGCGTGGCGAGAACACGGGCTTCCCCGGCCCCGACCCTGGTGCTCGGAACAGGGCGCAGCGGGTGTCCTTGCTCAGCGGCTGTAGGCCAGGGCCGGGGGCGCCTGAAATTCTGAGGGGGGCGGCGATATTTCGGTTGAAACGGAGCCGTTGCAACTACCCAAGTGAAATCTCGCAGCCATGCCGCTGATGGGTGCTTCATGACAGAAGATAGCGACGAGCCATCTGGTATTTAGCGATGAAGTACAGTTTCAAGTTCATCAGCAATCTCGCGATTATTAGTGCCTGGAGCGACAAAATATCATAGGCGCTCACTTTTGCAGCTATATCGACAGTAACGAGGTTCTGAATCGTTAAGAAAAAAAAAACAGTTTTAAAACAAACAGAAAGCACTAACTTCTATCACCACAATCCTAGTTATATAACGATTCAGACTCAGAGTTTTTACCCCCGCACTATCAAACTATTAAACTCCCAGCCGCTCTCACCTACGATCTGAACCCTCACAGTGCCTTCTCTCTTCATCAAATCCCAAACACACATTGAAATCTACCTCTACCTCACATGTCAAGAAGTTCACTCCCCATAATTTCCTATCCTTTATTTCATTCTGTTGATGTATGGTTTTGCACACCTGTTGTTGTTTTGCACATTGCCTGTTGGTGTTTTGCACACTGCCTGTTGTCTCTGTCTTTCTTTTCTTATACAATTGTATTGTTGTTTTATTTGGACTACTTATCGTCTGAGAGCTAGCTAAATAGCATTTCGTTATACCATATACCTGAGTATGAGTATAATGACAATAAACTTGAACTTGAAATGCAAGTATTAGGATAAACTACTGCAAGGAATCGGTCCACCTGAGCAAACAAGATCGTAATAATGTCGACACCCACTAACAACGACACTATGTAATACAGTAGGTGCCGTTCCTGGACGGATAGCCCATCAGACAGGCCGATGCAGTAACTGTGAATGCGCGGTTAGTGTAGTTATCTGACCGTTGACAAAGTACAACTGTTTTTTAGGGCGCAAGTTAAGGAAGCGAAAGTGTTCAAAAATCCTGTTGTCCAAAACCGAGGGGGGGGCAGTTCAGTTGAGGGGGCGACGCCCCCTTCAGCCCCCCCGTGGCGCCGGGTCTGGTCCGGGCTCCCTGCGACCGGGCTGAGGCGCGGTGCTGGTTCTGAGCGGGCCGGAGTCCACTGGCTTGCCGGTGCTGGTTCCGCGGCTGCTCAGGTATCTGCTGCTGTTTTGTTTTGTTTTTTAGCTCATGATTTTCAAATTGGACTTCCTTGAATTCGCTTTCGGCTCCAACTACCATTGACAGGAGATGTTTAAAGGTTAGCAAGTGAAGTGGCAATGGCGACATTTTAGAAGCTGAAAGCAGTTAAAGTAGGTGTATCCAAGCATATAATTAGACCTGTTAAAGGCTCGGTTAAGCAAGCAAG